CCTGCAGCAGCTAGGCCTTCTGATGGTGTTGTGGATATAATTGTTTAGCTTAAGAGCAATGCTACATTTAATTTTTATTATAGAAGAACTTTTCAAAGCATACATGCTGAGGCTTATCCTTTGAGAAACAGGTGTCTTTATTCATAACTGATTTCTTGAAGTTTTAAGAGTTCTGAAACTCCTCCCATCTGGTGCACACGTGTTATAGCAGTTTTTCACTGGTCAGCCATATTGGCTATTTCCGCACTAATTGCACTACTATAAAGGGGGATTTGGAACCCCAGGCAGTTTTTCTAAATCTAGGTAAGCTTATTTTGTTTCAAAACCACACTTTGTACCCAGAACACATACACAGTGAGAGTTCTTGCAGCTATATACACACAGGTGAGAGAAATAATTTCAGAATAGTTTCTTTAAAAAAAAAAAAAAGAGTTCAAATTTTCAGTCTTCCTTGATGCCTTCTTTGACAGCTTCCCCAGGGGAAAATAATCAACAACAAAATTCAGATCTGATTTTTCTGCATATGTGCAGGTACGAATATTTCCTTAACAGTCTTGTCCAGAAGTGCTGTTATGGTATTGTAAGTAATGAACAAAGTTTTGTTTTGCTAGCTTCCAGGCATTTCATTCAGTTTTAAGATTATTAAGAATATCTCTAATAGAACTGTAGATCCCCTGGCAGAACAATGAAACTCTTAATATTAAAATACAGTTCATATAGCAAAGTGAGCCAGTCAGGGACCTATAAAAGTGCCTTTTCCATTCCGTTGTTGATAAGCATACCCATATTCCTTGGCAGAACACTTCTCAACTGCGTGTCCCTTGCAGTGCACCAACAGTGTTGCCAAATACAGGTTATTTGGGGGCATACTGGAAGCAAATGTGGATCTTCATGTGCTCACTGAGAATGCGCCATCAGCTGTCCTCTTCCTGTGTTGAAGGGTTCTGACTCAAAAGAGCTGCGACAGTATTGGTACTAGGAGGTAACAAATACTGAAGCCCGGCGGTCTCATGCCACTTAAGATTATGCACCACAGTTAACATCTTGGACGCCCCCACGCAAGACCAGTGGAAAGATAGTGCTGTTCCTGAAGCTTGTCAGGTTTTCATTGGTGAGACAATCCACGCAGCAGAGGTTATTTCTTTGCCTCACTCTAAATGGTTTGATTTGGACATCAAAGTAACGAGAAACAGTGAGACATGGTGACAGCATCTGCTTCCAGGAAAAACAAGGTGCAGTCTTTCTTGCGAATGGTCTCTGAATCCTTTGAGTCTCCCTGGTTCTCCCTCTCACCCCTCCCTGTTCCCCAGTGTGTAAATCCAAGTAACTAAACTGTCTGTGGTCTGCAGACCTTCCTACTTTGTGCAAAATGTTGGTTTGATTTCAAAAGGTATGCTATCTAGAGAGAAATATTTTGCCAGCTGTGTTTATTTCCTCATTCAAGATCAAATGTTATTCTTTTTTTTCAAATCTAGCTCACTGTAAGGCACTCATTTCTTGCCTATGTAGCAGGTTGCAATTGAAGTAAGAATTTTACCAGTAATCACTGACAGTAAAACTTCTTTGTTATTGTTGTGTATGAAATGATTGTGTACATCTGTATATACTCCCCTGATAGTTAATACAAATTTTCTGGTTATGGATATCCTTCTGCAGGCAAAACCTGCTTCATTGAGGACAGCAATACCAACTGTGCATACATTTAAACTTCCTTGATTTGCTTCATAACCCCTCATCTGCCTTGTCCCTGTTCCAAAAGGAAAAAATTTAACTAGTCTCATTCCACTAAAATTGTTCTTGGTTTGTAAGATGGATTTTAGTGCAGCAGTATGGGCTCTATTTCTGCTTAATGTATGTCTCCCCTATGGATAATCTTGATCAGTTTAAAGTCTTCTTAGCTAAACATACTTTCTGACTGAATGTGGGTGGTTGTTTAAAGGGCAAGTGTAGGTAATCTGGCTTTGGCAAAAATGGAGGATGGTTGTCATGGACCAAAGGCTGCCTGAAATGTCTCTGAAGTAAGCAATTTTTAAAATACTTATTTCCAACCCTTCCTTAAATGAAGAGTGTAAGTGTTGGGATTTCCCTGCTCTCCTTTTTTTTTTTTCTTTTTTTTTTTTTCAACAGGCTGAAGAATGTAAAAACTGCTTTATTCAATGTCATGCAGCGTACTGAAGTATAACCCTGTTTCTTGATCTGTTGTGTGAAAGTTTGCCACTAATGTTCTCTGTGCGTCAATATCTGTTCAAAGTCCTCCAACAAGCAACAGAAAGAATGATGAGGATTTGAGGTGAAATGTATTTGTGTGAAAATCACAGTAAGAAAGACATTTATTGATTCAATTGCCAGCCTCCCTTGTCTACAACCAGTGGTAAGCTGGAACTGAAATACTTAAGAGATGTGAGCAGCCTGCAGGGTGCAGTGAAGTGGTCAGAACATCTGCCCTGGAGCAGATTGGCAGTCCATCTGGCAAGCACTTTCTAGCAGCAGTTGGGTTACACCCAAGGAAGAGTAAGAGCAGGATGAACATGTGATAGTTCCCCCAAGTCCTCTCCCCATACATGCTAGGGCTCTTCCGCTGTGCCTTGTTGGTTGGAATCGGACTAAGTCTGATGTGTTTGATATGATGTATCACTAGTCATCTAAAGCACTTGCTGCCATTTCTGCAAAATAAGTAAGAAAGCGGTGATCTGAGCTAGTTGAGGTCATGGTGTGTGGTTACCTTGGGCTCCTCTGAATGTGCTGGTCTATTTTCTTTGGGAGATTATTGTGCTTTCCTGCATACTGGACCTGGTGAGGTGAATGTCTGGAAGCTTGGAGGGTTCCTGCTATTGAAGACTCATCAGTGCTTACAGTTGTAGTTATAGCACACTCTTAGCTGTTTTGTTCTCTTCAGGGTTGTCTGACAATGTCACAGTTTCAAGTGACATTAAGGTAACATGGGTTGTAGTGAGTTCATTGTTTTTTGTCTAATTCTGTAACTGTTGTGTTTTGTTCAGCATATAATTGCTTAATCTCCAAATCAGAATGACCTGAAATATCCAGGTGGTGGTGTGTATTGCTCCCTCCATGCACACACATCCCCCTTGCTGTATTATCTCCTCTGGATGGTTGGGATTAGATGGGTTCCTTGTGCTTGGTTTGGAAGCCTGCAAACAGTTCATGATTTGATAATGGCTCCCTACCACTGGATTTTATTCTTCTGGGCATTTCAACAGAGGCAGCCTAACAGGTGTCAGGAAATGATGCAAGAGTAATCCCTTTTTGTTTATTGTTTTTGTGGTGATTATGGGGCTAGCTATTTCTTTGATCATTTTTCTAGTCTGAACACTCTGCCTGCAAAGTATTGACCTCAAGCCTTTTTCTTTCCAGACACACAATCACCTGACTGTCCCACTGACAGATCCAGCCCTGTGCTGTTGTATTCTCTGGATTAAATCTGTTTATTCTAGCAGAGCTATTGCAAACCTGCATTTCTTCTGTTTGGGAGCTTGTGTACAGTGCCTCTGAATAGCTTTTGTAAAGATTAAATAGTTTTTCAGTAGGAGCAAAGTGCTATTGGAAAAGATAGAAGTATGCAACTGTGACAGTTTGACAGACTCCCTCCCAGGTTTCAGAATCTGGTGTGAACGAAGTATGCAACTGTGACAGTTTGACAGACTCCCAGGTTTCAGAATCTGGTGTGAATCTTGCTGTCTTTTTTGATCTTATTAATTGTCCTGAGTGTTGCTGTTCTGTGTTTCTGAGGCTGGCTAAACTGATACAGGCTTTTTTTCACAGGAAACTTGAAAGGTTTGAGGCTTTAATATTACTTCTACCTATATTACTTTTTCCCCTTGCTATTTGCATGTCCTGGTTGTCTTTGTGTTGAGAATAAATGAACAGATTTGTGCAGTGCAGTGCATTGGAGTCTGTTTGGTACAAATGCAGCAGCTGGCACCAGTGACTCCTGAAAGAGGAATAGGACATGTAATGTGGAAGTTGGTTATAGCACGATCCTGCTGAGACAGTCCTGCCTTCCTAAGAAGTTCTTCGTTCTGTGATTGTGCTGCTGCTTGCTTCTTATCCCAAACCAAGGAATTTTCATTCCTCCTGGAACAATTTTGATTTTAAATCTGTTTTAGGACATTTTTTGAGGACACTTCTATAGTGATTTTATGGTGGGCCGATTCTGCTTTTTATTGGAAAGAAATTGAATATAGTTCCATTTATAAGTAAATCCTTTGAATGAAGCTACTGCCTGTGCTCCCCATGATTTAAATTTTTGTCTAGGTACTACAGATTTGACAGATTGTACTCAGCTCCTTGGCTGTTCTACATGACTTGATGCTCAGTTAGATGATCTGTCTGACTCAGTGACGTTTAATCCCTCTGAAGATATGTTCTACTTCTATCTTTGCTGGAGGAAAAATTTATACTTTCCATAGGTCCAGCTGCTCATTTTGAATGTGTTCAGTCGAATGTGCTGAATGTTTTTGTTTGTTTACAGTTGTTCTACTTCAGTAAAGGTAGCATCAGTGATCTGATATGCCTTATTAAATGTGTTGCAACTTCAATTCCTGAAGCTAATGATACAGAAGTGTGTTCTTTTTGCGTTCTGTTGATTTCTGATGTATTTTTTCTTAACTTGCTTTAGAATTGTGTGCAAGAGATGTCTAATATAATAATTTAATACAGCAATTAAAATGGAGTAGAAATGAAACAACTTTGTAGACAGAATGCTATAAGAACAAAATTAAGGTAGGATAAAAAGCAATATTTTGTCTATGTTACACACACAAAATAATCTCCCCTGAAAGTATATATGTAATTTCTACTGTCTTGAAAGTCTTTCAGGTTCTCTGAAATCTTAAAGATACTGTCACACACGTGTACAGCTTTTCTTTTTAAAAAAACAAAACAAAAAACTCTGAAAGCAAAATAAGTATCCAATACAATAAAATACAAGTTTGTAGTAGGGATAGGGTTGACTAAAACTTTTGTGCCTTTGTCTTAAACAGAATGTTGGCTTTGAAAGCTCAGGGAAGAAGCAGCAGGGAGGAAAAAGTAACACAGTGGTAAGTACGCCATTTTTCTTTCCCCTGAACCAATTGCATGTATTAAAATCGAAATCCTCTTCTTTATTCATATGTTGTAATAGTGACCTCCAAAGCACTGGAATTTTACTCTGCATCATCTCATGTTGTTCAGGCAAATTTTTAGTTATAAATGTCTGTTGAAGAGCCGTGTGAATTATATGTATTTAGATGTAATTGTGTGCATGTATAGAAAGGGAAATATATGAGGGAACTAAATTGTAGGAAAATATTTCTGTTTTAAAGCTCAATGTCCATTATTAAATGTTTTTGCCTGTAAAGCTTTAGCATTTTGTACAGCTTTTTAAAGTGTTGTTTTTTTGGTTGTTTTTTTTTTTTTTAGTTTCTAGGAAAGATAAGCGTATTTTTGAAAAACTTAGATAAAAGATGCTTGAAAAAATGCTTTGAACACTTGCTGGGCCTCTTGCTGTGTCCTTTCTGGTTTGCTGATCTAAAGCCTAGGCAAACAGCGCATCATGTCATTTCTCTCTTATTGATGTATTAACGTTCTGTAGCTAGAGAGCATACTTAAGAACATGAAAAGTATTAAGAAGCCAAATAAAGTTCAATTTTCTGTTCAAAGCTCTATGGAAAAGCAACACATGTTCAGAATCAGCTTTTTTCTTTATTAAATGCTGCAAGTGCAGATGGCACCGACTTGCTTTTGCCTCATATTGTAAGGATTTCTAGAGGCAAGTATTTCTCATGAATAAAAAGAATGCCCAATAGAATATTTTGTTTTCAGAATTTCCCTATGAATTTCTGAGGAGGAGTTGTTACTGCGTACCACCCCAGCCCCACCCCCTGCCCTTGCAAAAAAAGCTCCAACAACATATGTCAGCAGCTTCCATCTGCTCTGATTTTATTAATAGTGCTGCTCAGACTGTAGAATCACTAATAAATATTGACGCTTCAGTGACTAGAATTTTGGAACTTACTATAAAATATCCATTTAAAATGTACAAAATCTTCCAAGTTTTTTATCTGGCATTGCTACAGACATGCTTAAGAAGATAGAAGCATGTGCACATGCTCACTTTTTCCAGCCTTTTGTGTAGTCTACAAGGCTGTAGGCTTTTTGTTGTGCTTTGGCATTCTCTGCTGAGCTAAGAACCTGTGCTGTTGCTGCACCACCTCAGCTATGCTTGCTGCTCTATAAGGTTTGTTGCCTCCTATGGGCAAATGACTGGCAGAGCCTCTTCCCTTCTCCTGTGCTAGTTCATCTCTTGACTATGTTGTTATAACTGGAGGAATTAAGACAGTATCTCTTCCTTTCTGCTTGGATAGATGTTGACAGTATGTGATACGCAGCATTTACTCGTACAGCAGATCCAGTCATAATCCCTCAAAGGACTACACCCGAAGCATAAGTGGTTTAATATGGTTTTATACCTCTTCCAGAGGCTTACCATCTCTTAGTCTGGTTGCTCTGTGTATTTAATTTTCATTGTTTTCTTTGTATAGAAAGTCAGGAACTTGTCCTGTTTATTTCCATGGATCTTTTTCACAGCAACAGTGAAAGAAAATGGAGTTATTTAATGTAGAAATTAGTGGATTCTGAAAGCAAAACAGTTCTGAAGCTAGAGCTTCAGTTACTTCAGTTCAGAAGTTACAGCTAGCTGTGCCAAATAGCTGTGATTACTAGCTGTACAGTAGCTGTGATTATTTCTACTGCACATATGAAAAAAAAAAAAAGAGATATGGTGGCTAGTGGGGAATGGAGTTCACTTCATTATCCTCTTGGGATAAATATTTCATGTTCCCAGCTATGTATTAACTTAAAAGTGACAAACACAAAACCCCGAACATGTCAGTTCCATAAGGTAAAGGAATTCTTTAGCTATTTGAAAACATCAGTGTCGAAATTCTGAAATATCAATGTCATAGCCTTTAAAAAAGCTAGGTTTTTTGAATATTCCATGAAGGTTTGAGGAGCTCCTACAGTTTCCTTCAAAAGTCAGTTTGTCATAGTAGATATTCTTGTATTTGTATGGCTTTTTTTGATTTGGGAAGAGAGTGAGACTGAAGCACAGTGGTTTTAAAAATCAATTTATTCCTCTAAATGTTTTCTTAGTAACACTACAAATACATACCCAAAGAATATGCAATCAAGTTGAACATCAGAAATGAAGCTCAGATCTAGTGCTAATCTCAGCAGCATTGTTAATGGTATACAATTAGAGACCATTCTTCAGATGAAATGTTACAGCAGCACTTACTTGGATAGTTGGGGTGTCCAGATGGAAGTTTGTTTCTAGGGCTGCCTCAGAAACACATATGAAGGAAATGTGTAAGAACTAAGTTAACTAAGTTACAACTACCTGGGCTGCAGTTGTGTAGTGGCAGGGTGTGTGTAACGTACTACTATGTAGTAGCGCTAATATGAAAAGTCAGTATAAAGCCAAAATTACAAGTGGTTGGGTATCTGAACATTTTAAAACTTGGTTTTTACTGTGTAATTAGTCTGTAATTTTTCTCATCTTTTTTTTTTTTTTTTTTTTTTTGCTACGGATGTTTCTGTAATGGATCGTGCCTTAAATTACTGATCTGTGCTTTCATACCTGTGCCTTACACCATGGTGCCTTGGTCTAGGTTTATAAGAATATTCAATATTACTACATTTCAGTTAAAGGCTGTACTTGAAGTAGAATATTTTATTATGTAGGTATTTGCCAGGAGGGTTTTTGCTTCTTTTCTCAGTTTAAAAATAATACTTTGTTGTTTTGTTTTCACAAAGTCAACCTGGTTTTGTCATTGTTAAGCTTTTGGCATGATAAGGCCATGTACTGACTGCTTTGTTGTCTTACTGTTTTTTTACAGTTACAGAAATGAATAGAAATAAGTATTCCAAAGATTTCTTTTGATATACCTAGGGTGGGTTTTACTTGTCATAATAACTCTTTAGGTTTGTTTTAGCATTGGCAGTTTGGATAAATTTCTAAGCTGGAAAATAACTGCTGCAACAAATACCTGGTTAGATCGTCTCTAGTTTCAATGAAGTGGGAGAATGCTGTTGTTGAACCAAGAAAATGTTATTAACACCATCAACAGCATTACAACTAAGTGAAGAGGTTTTATAAATAGTTTGCTGAAGAACTTCAGATCTTAAACGTGTAAAAGATTTCTGAATATTTTAAAGCAAAATAAAATGGAAATAGTAAATTGACATCTGGTTAGACTTCATGGAATACAAAACCCAGATAATTTAGGCAAATGTCTCCAGAATTCATGCCTGGCTTTGATCTTCTGGGAGTTACATGAAATGGCCCTGATGTCTGGAGGTGGGTGTGTGGCTTTGTTTATGTTTTTTGTGTTTTGTTTTTTTTTTTTTTTTTTTAATAAATACATAGGCTTTGAGAGCTTGGAAAGTAGTTAACCCCAAGAGAAGTTTTGAGTTTTGTTACCGGCTTTTACCCCATGCAATGCTACAGGCTTGGGGAAGAGTGGCTGGAAAGCTGCCTGGCAGAAAAGGACCTGAGGGTACTGATTGACAGCTGTCTGAATATGAGCCAGCAGTGTGCCCAGGTGGCAAAAAAGGCCAACAGCATCCTGGCTTGTATCAGGAATAGCGTGACCAGCCGGAGTAGGGAAGTGATCGTCCCCCTGTATTCGGCACTGGTGAGGCCGCACCTTGAATCCTGTGTTCAGTTTTGGACCCCTCACTACAGGAAGGACATTGCATTGCTGGAACATGTCCAGAGGAGAGCCACAAAGCTGGTGAGGGGTCTGGAGCACAAGTCTTACAAGGAACGGCTGAGGGAACTGGGGTTATTTAGTCTGGAGAGGAGGAGGCTGAGGGGAGCCCTTATCGCTCTCTACAACTGCCTGACAGGAGGCTGTAGCAAGGGGGGGATCAGCCTCTTCTACCTGGTAACGGGCGATAGGATGAGGGGAAATGGCCTCAAGTTGCGCCAGGGACATGGCTTAGTGGTGGAATGACAGTGTTAGGTTAACAGTTGGACTTGATGACCTTAAAGGTCTTTTCCAACCTAAATGATTCTATGATTCTTTGAGTTTTGTATTTCAGCAAGCTAGGAGTAGAGTATCACTGGTTTTGCTTATATCCTAGCAGCTGTTGAATCAGTAAAAGCAGAACTGATTTTTTTGCACTTTATGTTCCCTTTATTTTCTCAAAAAATGTAGCATCCTTCATATTTTTGCATTTAGCAATTGGTTATTATTTACTGTATTTACCAACATTCATAGATTTCTTAGAATACTGGGTTGGAAGGGACCTCAGGGATCATCTAGTCTAACCTTTCATGGCAAAAGCATGGTCTAGACAAGATGGCCCAGCACCGTGTCCAGCTGAATCCTAAAAGTGTCCAATGTTGGGGAATACACCACTTCCAATGGCTGATTTTTACTGTGAAAAATTTTCCTTTTGCATCCAATAAGAATCTCCCCAGGAGTAACTTGTACCCATTACCCCTCTTTTCCATGTGACTCCCTGTGAAAAGGGAGCCTCCATGTTCTTTGTAGCCACCCCATAAATATGGGAACATGGTGATAAGGTCTTCCCTAAGCCTTGCTTTCTGAAGGCTGAACAAACCCAATTCTCTCAGCCTTTCCTCATACAGCAGGCTTCCCAGTCTTTTGATCATCTTGGTGGCCCTTCTCTGGACCCTCTACAGCCTGTCCACATCTGTTTTGCATAGTGGGGACCAGAACTGAATGCAATATTCCAGGTATGGCCTGACAAGCGCTGATTAGAGTGGGATTATGACTTCTTTATCTCTGCTGGTGATGCCCCTGTTGATGCAACCCAGCATCCTGTTGGCCGCCTTGGCCACAGCAGCACACTGCTCACTCATATTGAGCTTGCTGTCCACCAGGTCCCCTGTGTCCCTTTCCACAGAGCTGCTCCTCAGCCGGGTAGATCCGCGGCTGTGATGCACTCCTGGATTATGGTTTCCCAGGGGCAAAACCTTACACTTGTCATTGTTGAACTTCATAAGGTTCTTGTTAGCCCACTCTTCCAG